CCCAAAAGGCTCAACTAGAAGCCTAGAAGTTGGCTCTAGGCTAGTGTGACTCAAGTATTGTTACATTATTGTTGGCTAGCCTAGAAATGACTCATGGAAACAAACAATGTGAGCTGAGCGCTCAGGGAAATCCAGCTGGCAGTTAAACTTACTTGAAATATTGGTTTTTTAATCTAATGATGTATATATACACATCTAAAAGGCAAGGATAGGAGTTTTCAGTTAGATCCACAAAAGGACTTAACCATTTAATTCTTGCCTAACTGCCCCATAGGGTAAGCCCAAAATTTAGATCTTGAAAACCTCTGGCTCAACTGCCACCTAATCCTGGAGATTTACTTTTAGCAACATTTTTACCAAGGCAATTCCAGAACAATTGTAAATAGTTTTAACAGATCTCCTGCTGAACATGCTACATTGCCTGCAGGCCTCATCTGGAGGCAGGCTTATAACAAACATACTACTAGGTCAGGCCATACATATACCATCATGTGGTAGTAGTATTGGTAGTCTTCCCCTCCCCTCATTTTATCCAGTAGTGTAGACATTAGAGATCTCACCTAAAATGCACGAGATATAGTGGAGAGAACTGAACCTGCTAGACACTGTTTGGGACTGCCATTTCCTCCCTTTCAGAAGACATCACTAATGAGATAATCTGGCATTCCCCACTAGTATTTTAATAGTATAGTTCCACACTTTATATACTAATAAAAGCCTGAGATCATGACCACTAGACTAGTGGTAAGGTGAATGGGGAAATATTGATAATTCATTCAAAGCAGGGGTGTCAGACTTGCATGGTTGGTGGGCTTTATTCCCTGCCAGCAGTCCAAAGCCAGGCTGTCGAGCTTCTCACCACAGGTGGGAGAGCACCCAAGCATTTAGTGCCATTGCTGCTTGCTTGCAGTAGATTGGGAAAGGAGGAGGGAACACAGTGACAAGTCAGGGAGCAGAAAGCAGAACAGCATATATGTGGCAGGAGGCAAGGGAAGGGGATCCAAGTGGGACTCAGGGTGGGTGCTTCCCTTGGGGGATGCCTGCCAGAAAGGTAGTCTCCTGCTAATTAACTTGTTGTGGTGGAATAATAATAGGCACAAAGATGCGCTTTGGACACAGTTACAACATGATGGCTGCATCATGTTGACATCAAAAGCTGATCCTATACTATCTCATCTGAAAAATGAACAAGAAGGCAGCTGCAATGTGATGGCAGGGCAACATAAGCTAGGTATCACACTTTCACTTTTGTTAAGTTGGCAGCTTCCCCATTAAGGCCACTACCATCACTGGAGCAAAGTTACATAAAGGTCTGAAAAGGAGCCTCTCACAATACTGTTCAAGGGGGAAAAGTTCAACAAGTATGTTCAGGAATGGGAAAACTAACTTGGCAGAAAGTAGCTGCAAGCCAAGAAAGCATTAAAAACCCCCACATAAAATGTCCACAAATGCAACCTACTGAAACTGCCATGTTACTGCTTAGAAAGTATATTACAAGAAACTGACTGCCATGTATGTAGTGAGCTTGTATCCAGCAACATGATACTATGGCATCAGAACAAAACCAGGAGTTCAAGGAAATAAAAACACAGAAAACCGGCAGCCAGAAAGTATAATCCAAGCCAGATCCATGACAACTTTAAGGCAGACTGGAAAGAATCAGAACAAACCACAGGGCAAAGATTTACCATTGCCCAAGCTAATCATTTTGTCAGGAAAGCCAGACACTAGTGCAGAGGCCTCATTTGTCTCTTGAAAATACTGGAACTACTCAGACAATCTGAGCATGCACAACAGCATCATATAAAGGAGGTTAACATCACGATACATGGATCATTAATAGAATTTCTCAGGATGATACTTGAGACATTCTGGAATAAAAGTGTGCATCTGGAACACTAGAAACTCTACACATTGGCCAAACATGACTAAGGATATCAGAGATCAGATGCAATTCATGTGGGGAAATACAAGCCAAACAGACAACAAAAATAAATAGCATCCCCAACAGACCCTGAAGCAAAGCAAGAATGGATATTTTCCACCAGAAACCATAAACTACCTCATTATTGTAAGTTACTGTTCTGAAAGCTAGATGCACTGAGAGCCACACACTGAGCCTTATTACAGCTATGAAGCATTTCAACATGCCTGGGATCCCAAACTGTACTTTTAGACAATGGAGCTTGCATGCAAGTGAATTTGTGCTACATATGTGGGAATGGGAATTCACTTGCATTACAGGACTGCAACTAGTCAAATGGCAAAGCCAAAACTGTTAAAATTGCTAAGGCTAGTAAAGAAAACAGCAAGAAGTAAGGAAAATGTAGCACAATAACCTTATATGAAAAACAGAAAAATCACTCCCAAAGGAGGCATTGATAGCAGCCCACTAAAATGCTTGTCAAGAAGCATTCATACTCTTGCTGTCTAGAACACCAGACTTCCCCCACTACATTTGCTTGAATGGAAAAACTGACATGAGCAAGACTAAAGCCTTCAGGCTGAGAAGTTAAAGACCTCCCAGAACTGTAACCAGGAGACCCTGCCAAGATCAGATTACATCCTCAGAACAAATCATGCGCTTGGGAGTAACGTGAACAATACATTTTCATTTGTGTAACACTGTGATAGACAGGTATTGTCATTCACCAAAACCACAAGTAAAACACAGAGGATGGTGAAATATGCTGTCTACTGGAACTGAGTCAGCAGGACAAGACATGGAGGCCAACAAGTGACTGAAAGAGTGGAATAAATATCTTAAAGCACTACAAAACCCAAAGAGGGCAATGTTATCCTGTTATCAGTTTGCACCCGCTTTAACAAATTTCCCACCACGTAGTATTGGACAAGGTCAGTGCAAGGCATGAAACCATTTCACACCCTTCCCCCACTTCCAAATTAAAATATTTTACGTTCAAAAGCAAATTATGAGATTTTAAAGAAGTGCAATGCAAATGTTAGGAGCGTCTGCTAGGAGGAGCATATATAAACAGATTATAACATAGACATTTAATTTTCTCTCAGATATGAAAAGGGAATGTTAGTAACAACCCAATAGGACTGTTATAGTTGATAAAAGGTAATGCCTAGAAACTGAGTGCTCAGATTTTAAGAGAGGCTCGCTGAAAGATGACTGTATACATGGAAAAAGGACTAAAGCCTAATTGTTACACTCCTCTGGAGCACCCTCTTTAAACATTGTGTAGCAGTGAGCAGATGTGTTGGGGTTTCTTTTAAATTGCACTGTCAGTCACCCTTCAAATTCTCAGCCAAAATTTTATCTGGCTCTTGTCTGTTTTAGGTCTTCATGTAATATAATATGTTGCTCTGGGTTTTGATACCAAGCATGCAGTTTTCACCAAACCTTTCCTCTCATTCAAGTACACAGGAGCAGGTTGCTCATTCAAGGATCTGTTACTGCTCAGTCTGCTAACAAGAATGGTGTTCTCACACCAGGGCTGAAGAAAGGGGGGGACGTAGTGTTGATGTGGAAAGGAAGAGAAGAGGAAAGGAAATTAGGAAAGAGAAACCTAAAAGGAAGCTCACAATGTGGGAGTAAATCAGGTAAGATTGATAAAGGCAAAAATTAGACGGTGCCCAACTGGCATCTGTTCATACTATAGAGTATTCTTAGTGCTTCAGGTATTATCCTTGCTGCGAGTAAGAGTTTGAAGTGGTGATTTTCCAGTCATATGCTCCTCTGAGAAGAACCAAACTGCAATGCTAGAAGGAGCACAGTTTGCTCCAAAAAGAAGTGATAGTTTTAGACCAACGATAGGTAGGAAGCCTGGCTTAGTCAATAGATGAGCAACAGCCAGCAGTAATGTGAATTCAGGTCTTATTAACTGAGGTCATTTAAATAGAAGCCATTATATTAACTACTTGCAACCATTTAGTTCTCCTCTTCCTATTCTGTTTCTAAGTGCACACAGCAGTTCATGGAGAAAGAGTCCATCAAATCAGTAGCTCTTAGGAACTTTTAATACTTCTTTTCTAACTAGATTTACCTTTTTCCTTAAGCCAAGCCCATCCACCATCACTAATGCTTAAACAATAAAAATGTGCTAGGTTGTATTCAACAGACACTGAATCTACATGCTTGAAAAGATGGGAACTGCAGCTGTTGGAGATGAGTTCTCTTGTATGTAGTTTTGGTGCAGGTGTGCAGACATCAAAATCTTTTGGACAGTCAAGTCTTTTGACCCAGGCTTGTAGTTGCAATGCCCCTTTTCAAATGGCAGAACAGAGCCATTTCCATTTCCTTGACAGAATCCAAGTGTGGTCAAAACAATAAAGCAACTAATTTGGAAGATCAAGCATCTAATCTTTCTGTCATTTTAAGTAATTATCATACACAATAACATCTCCCGTAGAATTTCACAGCAATGCAAGTAACCAAAACTTTCAACTACCACGTGTTACAGAGGGCCAACTGGAGAGCATGGTGATGATCTCTAACTGCACCTCACATTACTTTTCATTACCGTTAGTAAAAGAACAATACTAGTCTTAGCAAATTTAAATACAAATTTTCCAAAAGCAATTGTTTATCAATCACTTTCAAATACCCTCAAAAGTATTTGAGAGGAACACCTACACCATGCATTCCTTTTACCTTTTCAAGTGTTTTCAGTAAGGGAACCTGATTTCACCTAAAATACGAAATACTAGTTTATATAAATCCTTATTACTTTAGCACTTTAAAAATAACAAACTGAAGAAAACTTTAGTTTAAATTTGTTTATTGTGGTTACATTGTTTTGAACATCAATAAACATTGCACCAAAAAGTGTGGGTTATTTACCCGAGATAGTCCAGTCCTGACAAAAACCACTGTACTGGCTTGTTCACAGATTTGACGATTTTTACCACGCTACCTTATTAGTGATTGCGGTGTTTTACAATCAAATATTTCACATGTTCTTCACTGAATAATGAAATAGAAAGTACTGATGAGCTCTCTCTACCCTCAAAATAAAATCAAAATGCACCTTCCATCTGGAAATAGTTAACACTTTTAAAAAAATGATTCAGCAGGATTTCACACAGAAAAACTTCTTCAGGCAAAAGTGATACTTCAAAAGCTCTCTCATATTCACTACAGATTCCTGGTATTTCATAATGATGTTAAACTTAGTTTCTTATTCTTAAGCAGCTCCTTAGATGTAGAGGAGTCCTTCTAGACAACTTGAATAAAAAGAGATTTCACGTTTGAATACTTTATAATAAACCAGAGTTTTTCCTCAGACCTTGTGCAATTAAGTTGCTTGAAGCATTAAGACTTTTCCAGCTGAAGAGTATATCATTCTAGAAACAATACGCTGATGACAAGCATTTAAGAATACATGATCCAAGGACACGCCTGCACTTCTACACTCTTACAGATGAAATGCTTATATGTTGAAGTACAAGCTTAATCACGGTAAAGTAAAAAAATCTAGAAACAGTCACTATATACACAAATGATTGAGTTAATCATGTTTAATCACTACAGAAATGGGCAGGTGTCCAATGCACTGCCCATATCTGAACTGCAATGTTCCCGGTCTATCCCCAGATAAATACTGCGGAAGGTTGTGACATTTAACACAGTTCCAATGCTAAGGGGATCTGCGTCTTCAACAACACAGTCTTAAAAAGGGCTGTGTGTGCGCGTGCGCACACATGCTTACACACACATAAAAGCTCCTCTTTCATAGAAAGAATTAGTTAACTTTTGTGCTGATCTGAAATAGGCTTAGCACAAGCTTTGTTTTCAGACATTAATTTCAAGCCACTTATTTCCATTAAAGTGAAATAAAGGAAAGAGACGCATAGAATTTTAATGCAATCACTTCATATTAAACTTTACAGCACAAACCCACCATTTGACAGACGTACGACATGTCTCGTCTCGAGTCCATGTACCATACCGTACCCACCAAAGCTCAGTCCCTCAAACTGGATTTTAAACAAACATTAACACTCTATCAGGGCTCCAAACACAAGTCAGTAAAATAAAAATGAAAATAAAAAACCCGATTAGGAAGACTCTGGAATGCTTACATTGCATCAGAAACAAAAAGCAGGAGGATACCCCACAGAAAGAGGTTATAAAGGTGCTTTTTGGAAAATCCCTAAATGAAAAAAAAAAGGTTAGTAGCACACGCAGAGCTCTCTGCCCTCACTCTTCCTTCTCCAAAATCCTAGCACAGCCCAAATGCTTGCAGTAGCTGAAGGGACAGCTATGGAAGAGGAGATGGATGTCTCCATTTCATTCTTAAATTCCTTCTACAGAAAAGGTGGGTTCTTTATTTTTTATTTTTGAGTTGCCCATTTCCCACTCAAAGTATAAAATTCATCACTTGAAATGTCAAGACATAGAAAACAAGCACTTTGGTTCAAAAGAAAGGTAGCCATGTAAGGTACAGTCAGCACCTTGCAATATTTCTTTTTTTTTCTGCCCAATATGGAATTATCCTGAATATTTTAAGTTTGTCATGAAGTATTTAAAACCTGCATAAAGCCAGGGCCACTGAGAAAGAGGAAAGGAAATTCAAATCAACACTGGAGAGCCCTGATCATTTTATGGAAAAAATAAAGAAGTTTCTTTCATTATTTTGGAGAAAAACTTCACAAGTGCTTAAGTGACCTCAAAGCCCCAATCTCACCAATTTTCAAAGCTGTTTTCATGTGCCATGAACATTTTACCCCTTGACCAATGTTTTCCCATTTAAGAAATGAGAGGAAATAAAGCAAGGCTTTTAAAGACTGGTGTTTATAAGTTTGCCAAATGCAGCAATGTACGTGCACAGACAAATTCTGTTCTCATTTGAATCCAGTAAAACAATTCATAAATAACATTACATTTTTCCAACAGCATTTTTAGGGCTTGATATTAAATCCACTGAAGGCAAAAGATTGTGGTTTTTGACGAATAAACCCTGTGCAATTTGTGGCTACTAGAAGGAAGAACTTGTAAAACAACATCTTTTAACATTCGAGGAAAACCTCAGTCCAATTCAGTTCAAATCAAGTAGATTTGTAGCACAGCCAGAAACTGCGCTGAATATTATTAGCATGCCATGAAAACAATATGCTTTGATGAGGCTGCTGCAATTTAATTCAGCTGTTTATGTGGCACACAATGCACTAGTAGGTATGGGCTAACAAGGCCTCCCTCTTTCCAGCACAAGGGAGGATCCAAGTCATCCCTGTACTTCTCCATTATATACTAATGCAAATTATACACCAAAGCTTTATTCCAGTTGATTTAGGTTTGATTCCATTTATGCTACTTCAGGTTAAGAGCACACAGCCCGAAAAAAAGGAATAAATATCTACCAAATGTGCTCTCTCACTGACAGCCTGAAGGTAAGAATTTGCCCCCTTTATATTAGACAGCGGGATCAAAGTAATGTGAAAGAGGCCGTAAACATTTGATTTCCAATATGGGAGGAATCCCCTGGTGCAGGCACGGCAGTAGATGCCATAAGGAATTTTTACAAAGTGTACCAGCAATAGAAAGGACAAAAGGTAGCATTTTCCCTACTGCACCATGGAGATTCTGAACACTACTGCAAAACGTAAGGCAGTCTTGGGAAGCCATCATAATCCTGAGGGCCTGCCCAAGTTATCCAAGTAATAATTGGGGCCTCTCTAGCCTGCAAGTAGGCCCAAGTTTAAAGAGTGGCTTAAACAACCTTAGTCTCCACTCTCCCTAACCAGCAGACACAGTTTCAGATGCATCCTACCTCTCTCTGAAGGGTGAATTCATAAGTCTAAACCATAAAAATCCATTGCAGTTAATGACTTTGGGATACCCAGCAGGAAAACACTGCCAGTCAGCTGCTTTGGAGCCGATTAGTACACCTGTGGCACAATTCGTACCTGAAACAGTTTACAGGATTGGGTCTGAAACTGAGGAACAGCCACATGGCAATGCTTGTCATTTACCCCAGCGTGCTGTGCTGGCTGCACTACAGCATTTAGACCATAAGCCTCACCTGTAGACTCGCACCTGCTGAAACCTCACAATACAAAATTCTGGAAGGCCCTGGAGAAGGACTGATTAAAAAATTAAATACATCATTGTCTTGTAATACAATTCCCTGAATGTATTCTGCACATACTTTTTACTGGCCTATAAAATGTGTGCATTTACCTGCATCTCAATGCTGGCTTTCCTCCCTGCCCTGCCCTACAAAGCTCTTTTCTCAGCCTTCCCTGCACAGAAACTTGACCTGGAAGGTTATAGCCTGTGAGTAACAAAAAACCATACAAATACCTTGAGACAATGTTGATTTTAAAAAGTTTAAGCAACAAGCCCATAAAAGGTTCTGATTGTTGTATGTTAAAAACTGTATGAGACCCAAGTTAACATGAGCAGGTGCTACATTTATCTCGACTAGACACTGTCTTGGTTTGTTGTGGCAAAGTACACGTGTACATTTGAGGAGCAACATTAGATCTTCAGAGTCCCCAGGGCTATTAATGTCTACGATATTTTCTATTTTTTGTTTGAGAAAGAGCCACAGTTGTCTTCCATAAAATGGCCTACAATGAATTTGAACACTGGTCCATGACTGCTCTCATGTGGCCGATACAATCTATTTGGCAGCTTCCATAAACTTTTTGGCTTCTTTTTAAAAAATATAATTTTGAGACTAATACAAAAGGTCTATGTTTAAAGGTAAGATTTTTCTCTATGGTACTGCAAATTTGCAGCTAAAATTCCACCTCTGTGTTGCCATCTACTGTCTCAAAGTTGCTACTATCACACAGGCTGATCCCAGATGCCTTTTAAGAGTCAAGCTAAGACAAGCAAACTCAGAAATACAATAACTTTCCTGTTTGTTTGTGCCAATCCCACAGAGCTAAACTGTCTTCTTTAGTAAGACTTATGGTACCAAAGTATAAATTTAGCCTCTTCAGTAGAGGTCTTTCTTCATATTTAAACTGAAGATAAATGGCTGAACAAGAAATCCCATGTCAGTGGGATGGAACAGTGCTCTTCAGGCCAGGTCTTCCATGTTCACCTCAGGCAGTGGTTCACGCCAATAGCAGAAGGAGCTGAATTCTGGGCACGCAAAGGCAGAACTCTGTTCTTTATTAAGCAATGGGAACACATGGTCCACAAGCTCACTTAGTCTGTAATACCTATATTAAAACAAAAGAAAGAAAAAAAGAAAGATTATTCTACAGTCTAGCCCTCACGTAATTGTAACCAAATTGCAGCTTTAGAAATCTATTCCAAAAGCCTCCACACTCCAAAAGGCAGCACTCCTCCAAAAAGCTATTTTTCATTTTACTTTGTCAGTTTTATTTTCTTTCTGAACTTGTTTCAGCAAATATTTGAAGCTGAAGATTTCCAGCAGGGAGCATTTTTTCCCTCCTTCTTACACAAGTTCCTTAGGATTTTGTATTATAGAGTCATTGTCACAGTAGTTACACACTGCCTTGCCTGAACCACTTTTTTTTTTTTAGTGAAACACTAAAAGTGGCCTTACGAGGATTTGTTTCCCTTGGTCTGTTCTTGGATCAGTTCACCCTTTGGGTTCACTGTAAATATCCTACAGTCTGGAACTCCCACTTGTGTGTAGGCATATACATCCTGCAAAGAAAAAAAAAAACAACAAAAAACTGGATCAGGAAAAAATGATATATTTCAGCTTTGAGATTCTTTATGTGAGAAAAAGCAAAAGACAAGGATTTTCGAGGTTCATATTTTTTACTAGACCAACTGCAAATTTGGGAGACATTTTGAACAACTTTCAGACAAAGTACTCTTCCTCATATTTTAATGGATTCCCGACAAAAGCCAAAATCTGTTTTTATCAACATTTATTTGCACGCCCTGTATTTAGCTTTTTAAAAAGAGCAAAGGCCAGAGAACAGTGACTCTTCGGCAGAATGCTCATTTTATAGAATAAAAAAGCAACACATTTTAGGAGTATTCCTTCCTAATTCAAGATTTAAGTGCCCATTAAAATGGAGAAAACATTAAATAATACGCAAAAAGAATGCATGAGTGTGCAGACTCTAGACTGAGTAGCATGGAATTAATCAACTTTCTCTCTTACAGTCTGTGGTGAACATTACTACATACTCTGGTATTTCTAAAATGTCATGTCTCTAATAAGGGCCAGACTCTGAAAATGTGTGTGTGTGTGTAAGTACCTTTGCTCACATGAGCAGTTTTACTGACTGACAGAAGTACATATGTTCATGAAGGATCCCCTCCCACCCATGTGTTTGTATGACTGGCACTTAAATATCTATTCATTTTTCCTTTGGACCAAAAATAATTGTTTAGTGCCCTTACTCAATTTGTAAAACAGACAATAAAAACTAACATATTGTTCAGAGTATACATCAACCTTTTCACTTGCCTCCAAAATAAGTTGAATCTGATTTATACATAGTCAACTTACAATTCAGCCCCCAACAATACTCACTTTTGGACTTGCAATATTTTTGTGCATGCAAAATACCAAATTTCAAGAAAAAGGTCAACCTTATTTTGGTATTTTTAGTTAGTTTAATCCTTTGGGTTATTTGATCCTCCTGTGGGACTTTCTAAAGGGAATTTATCTGCAGTTAACTTAAAGTAGCTGTTTTTCCTAAAAATTGAACCAGAAATTGTTCAGCGTCAACTTGAAGTTGACATATGTGGGGTCAACTTGGTATTAAAATTATATGCTATTTCCCTTGCTTCACAAATTAAGTGTTAATAGAGCTTTTAACCCTTCAGTTAGAAATGTGAAGACTTACATTGGGCCTGTTTCCAAAAGCAGCATAGAAAGGCTGTTTACTTGGTGCAAACAGGTTCTTGATATCATTCAAACACTCAATTTTAAACTTCTCAGGCTTCTTTTCTATCACTTCCCTAGAATAAAATGTGAACAAATCAGTGAATCTAGAATCCCAATTTGAGAGGCAAACTTTTCCTGTTCAGCTGGTGTTTGCATTTTCACAGTACATGGTAAAACTGCGGTGGCGTAACGCAGTGGACTTTAGGAAGGCCTTCGACACCGTCTCGCACCCCATTCTTGTTAAAAAAATTAGGAGATTGTGGTGTCGATGCCTACAGAGTCAGATGGGTCACCAACTGGCTGGAGGGCCGCACCCAGAGAGTGGTGGTGGACAGGTCATTTTTGACCTGGAGGGATGTGGGCAGTGGGGTCCCCTAGGGCTCAGTCCTCAGACCCGCACTGTTCAACATCTTCATCCGTGACTTGGACGAGGGGGTAAAAAGCACCTTGTTCAAATTCGCGGATGACACTAATATGTGGGGAGAAGTAGGCATGCTAGAAGGGAGGGACAGGCTGCAATTGGATCTGGACAGGTTACAGGGGTGGGCAGACGAGAATAAGATAGGATTCAATACTGACAAGTGAAGGGGACTGCATCTAGGGAGGAAGAACCAGCAGCAGACCTACAGGCTGGGGAACTCCCCTCTCGTGAGTGCAGAGGCAGAAAAGGATCTTGGAGTCATTATAGACTCCAAGATGAACATGGCTGCCAATGTGGGGACACAGTCAGAAAGGCTAATTCCACTTGTCATGCATCCACAGATGCATCACGAGCAGTTCCAAGGAGGTGATCCTCCCCCTCTATGTGGCACTGGTCAGGCCGCAGTTGGAGCACTGCGTCCAGTTCTGGGCGCCGCACAGGAGGGATGTGGACAACATGGAGAGGGTCCAGTGCACCAGAGGAGGGCCACTCGCATGATCAGGGGGCAGCAGGGCAGGGACCTGAACCTGTTCAGCCTCCACAAGAGAAGGCTGAGAGGGGATCTGGTGGCTGTCTATAAACTGGCCAAGGGAGACCAGCAGGCAATGGGAGAGTCCCTGTTCCCCCAAGCTCTACTGGGGATAACAAGGAACAATGGCCATAAGTTGACTGAGAGTAGATTCAGACTAGATATCAGGAGGCACTACTTCAGTCAGGGCAGCTAGGGTCTGGAACCAGCTTCCAAGGGAAGTAGTGCTCACTCCTACCTTGGAGGTCCTCAAAAGGAGGCTAGATAGACACCTTGCTGGGGTTGTTTGACCCCAGCATTCTTTCCTGCCATGCCAGGGGGTCGTACGTGATGAACTGCTCAGGTCCCTTCTGACCCTACCAACTATGAAACTAGTAAGTTTATCTAGTTATGATACTGTTTTTGAATTAAGATTAATTCATCTTAATCTTATTCATTTTATTTTTCACCTATTGGAATTACAATTAATATTTTA